CCTTTCTATTAGAGCCAACAAAATCTATTCTTTACGAGTGGGAACTGAAAATCCATCTGAGACAAAGCAAACAATATTAAATTTTCCCAAAGGAAAAATTCAAATTGTTGAGAGGGAGAGACAAAATAAAATGACAGTGCACCAAGTGACTTTGGAGACAACCATTTTATTTGGAAAGACAACTGAATTGTTGTAATAGGCTTGGTGTGAACAACATACAGAAAGGATATGCTTACTCTGAACTCCATTAGATATTGAGGTTATGTGAAAATAATTCAACAGGAGGCAGAGCCTGGGTTTAAAGGACGAGGGAAGGGAATGATCGGTTTGAGAATGGTCATGGACTAGACAAGTTTTCACAACCAGACGACCAATACACAACATGCATTCAGGTATAAGTGGCTGTACGAAAAGTTACGCAGAATAAAAAAAAGGCATTGAAAATTCTATTAGAAAAAGTTAATTACTGTCATTAAGGGCAGCATATTCTGGTGGCTGGTATACTAGTGGTTTACATTCAGGTCCTGGCTCCACTGATTGAGATTTTAATTTTGTTTTAAATAACCAATCTTAGTGTCTCTGACTGCCTCCTGATATCATTTGCCTTAAGGTGAGCAGAACAGGCAGGGTCCTCTTCTACACATCTGTGCTGTGCACAGGCAATGACTATTTTAGGATGGAAAGCTCTGGGCAACCCCCAAAGCCAAGCCAATATAAATCCTCTAAAAGAATATTTATGAGGATGTGGAGAAGAAAAACAAAACAAAGACAAAACAAAAACGCAGATGACACAGAAGGTACAAAAAACAATTTCAACCATTATTCAAGTAATTTAAAAGCTAGAGTCCAATTAAAAACATTTTAGAGACTTTAAAAACAAATTAGCCTCTGATTTTTTAATTATATACCACTTGTTCTCCTTGGCTCGAGCTGGCTTGGATCATGAAAATCCATTTTACTTTCCATCTTGTGCATTAGCACAAGATTGTAATGTTCAGAGTTGGAAAACATTTCTCGGTTTTATTTAGATATTTAAACATTAACCCAGGGGAGCAAGTGCACACGCTTCTAAATCAAACCTTACGCTACCTTGGCTCAAAGGTCCTGGTTCAAGCTAAGATTTCCACCTGAAGTGGCAGGTTCACGGCTGCGCGGAGCCGCAGCATCTCCTCCGAGAGCGAGCGACAGGCAAGGCCTGCGGCGCCCTGCGGCCAGGTGCTGGCGGGGTCACGCTAGGACACAGTCCTACAATTCTGTGTACAGATCGTTCTTTACGTGTCTATCCCTACTCTACCGCTTCCAGCCAACCCACGCTGACGGAAACACCTGTTATTTTCTGGTTTCAACACTAAGAATATTAGGGCACCAGGTTCAGGCACCTTGGCCACAGCAGCAACTTCTCACCGGCGCTTTAATGAATCCTGTGCTCTGGCTACTTCTAATTTCCCCAGCTGTGAACTGGGCGAGGGGAAGGAGCAGGAGGATAGTGAGCTTTGTAAAAATACTTCTTATGGCTGCGATGGATAAGCATTACATCTTCACTTAGCTCCCATGTAAGACCAGCAGCTGCACACGGGGGTCCGGGGGAGAGGCGGCCACTCGCTGAGCCGGCAGCTCCGCCTGGAGCGCCCACCAAGGCGCGCTTAGACCACGCTTAAATCAGCGGGCACCTCATCCCAGAGCACCCTGGCAGGGACCCCAGGAGCGCCCCGCTGGGC